ATTGATTGAAAATAGGCATGTTTTTGGCCTATTTTTGCTATATGTCGAAAAAAACGCGCACATGTGCTTTTATGTTCTATGCGCGCGTACGGCATTGCTGTTGACCCTAAATGACCAAAAAAGATTGGAAATTTGTGAATACAGCGTCAAGGACCTAAAACATTTTAAAAAACAATATTTTTAACTTCTGTATGTGACGCGCGCGTAAAAATGTGCACGCGGTGCCAAAATTTTTAAAAATGTTGAAATGCTCAAAATGGCTTAAAACGTACTCTAATTTAGTCAAAAATTGATTTCCACCATTTTAAAATTTTGACGCACGCGTACGCGCGCGTTATGAAGCGCACACGCAAAATGAGTGTACATTACAATCAACCTTCACTCGAAGTTAATGCTCACGTAATACGATTTTGAAATGTCAATTGGTTAGGCTGATATAATCAATTGCGTAAAAAACACAAAAATGCGCGTAGATGAGGTCACACGTGACTGGTAACCTTGCAAAGCTTATTGTCACTATTCCAGGCCAAGCCAAATGTTTTTTGTAGTCGTTTTGTGTGTAGCTCTCGGCAAATTTGAGATATCGTGCGAACAGTTATTTGTCAGAATGTAGAATAAAAAAAAAAAAATCTCTGACAATAACAAGAGGTGATCCGCACTAAATGCGGATCACCAATAATTCTGGTTCTGAGTAATGATCATTGACACAGACACAACTACAGCTGTACTCTGGTTGGTGAGATGGGAATGAAACCACTTTAAAGCATATCCTGGAAGTCCAAAAGAAATATTCAGACGGTTGATAAGGATCTTATGGTCATCTGTGTCGAAAGCAGATGACAAATCACACAAGACTAACAAAGACACCTCCTGTTTATCAATTGAAACAGCAGTGTCAGTATACACCTTGAGTAATGCTGTGCTATGGAGTGGACGATACGCCGACTGCAAGTGTTCAAAAAGTTGTTGTTTAATTTCTATTAATTTTAATTAAACTAATACATACAATAACATTAAAAATAGAAATGTTTACCCCCTCCCTCCTATTATGGTGATCCTCTATTTTAGGTCATCAAACTTTGCCACCAAATTTCAATTCATTAATTTTTTTGTAAATATTCTGCTATTTATGGTGATGAATAAGAGAGATTGAAGAATATGAAATATCTGATTATAGGCACGGCCTGTCATGAGAAAAAAATGAACACAATTAACTCACTGCACTTCTTTCAATTGATCGTTTCAGACTGAAGCAACATGCTCATTGAATTGTATATATTGAGAATCCAATGATCATAGGATTATGCTTAAATATTATATACCATAAAAAAAAAATTCATTGTCATAGGGCCTATTGTAATACGCTGAGAAACAAACAGCTGCACGTTGTTCGTTTAGTATTCAGACCCAGACGTTGGGCACAGTGAGTACCTAGCTTTACATTACAAAACAAATAGCGAGTTGAATGGCCGAGCGGTTAAGTCAGGGGCACCGTAACCTTCAGCTCTAATATCGGCGCTGGTTCAAATGGCCCACTTGCCAATGGTTCCGGTGGCGGAACAAGACTTCTCTGATAAGGACTTTAAACCGTAGGCCCAGTGTACTCAATTGGCTCACATGCACTTTAAAGAACCCAGGACATCCTTCGAGAAGAGTAGGGGGTTACCCTGGTGTACTGGCCCATTTACTCCCCTGTCATTTAATGGATGCCACAAAGGAGGGTGATTAAGTTCACTGATTTCCATATTCTTTGCGCTTGTGCCTAAAGAATTGAAATAAAAAATAAATAAAAAGAAACAAATTTGTTTAATCACTTGATAATCTCATTTTATTTTGAAGGGAAAAATTTAGAATATTTATTAGCACCTGCTGAAATTCATCTGCCTCTGAAGAGACCCCGGTCAACTCGTGTCATTCAAGTAGCTTGTGGGAGAGCGCACTCTTTAGTTTTAACAGATCAGGAAGGAGGTATATTTTTTAAATGTATTTATTATTGAAATTTTCATTTTTATTGATCCAGCGTATGTATATACAGTATGTATGTATTTTTGTGTCTAAATAGATTTTTCTACCTAATAACTGTTTACCTTGAGCCGCTGTAAAATTGTTTAACATTTTCCATACATACATGATAAAAACCCACTAAAATAATTAAGTTTTTTTAACCCAGAATAATAATGGGCCTTTTTTGGAGTGAAATAACATAACAATTGACCAGATCAGAACAGGGCCAGCAATATGCGTGTGCTTTGAACACGCGTGTTGTTCCACAAACGCATGTTTGCATGCTTTTACACTGTTGTTTTGTCCTTAGCAACAATATCCAAGGGGTGTGGCTTAGCAGAAATCTCCAGTAAAATGATGTTGATGCACATACTATATTGTAATAGCTACAAATAATTTTCATTTTAAATGAACAAATTTTTAATAATTTATGAGTTATTTAAAATTATGAAAAAAAAAAAGTATGTAATGGATTTAAATAAAATTTGTTGACTATTTTTTGGTACCTCTTTTGTCTAAGTGTTCAGTCTAGGAAATAATGCTTACGGCCAGTGTGGACGAAAGGTGGTAGAAAATGAAGATTACAGGTCAGTTGAAAGAACTTGCCTCATGACTTTTCTGTTACTTGCTATTTTTATAATTAATCTTATGTTAATGTTAATTGAAGTATCCATCATTTGAATTGTAGCCTCCTTAAATCTTTTTTTATACGCTTATATTGGGTGAAGGTTGGCATGGCGAATTAAGAAAAATAATAAATGCTATTGGCAAACCATATAGATATTATTTTCTTGAAAATGATGAATTCAACTCAGTTGAAAAGTCAAGACACTCAACAAAAACAACTGGTTTTTCAGAACTGTTTATATGGTGTACGCAAGCATTTATTATTATAATAATCATACGCTGTTTAATAAAACATTACTGAAAGATTTATTTGTTCTGTGATTTATTACTGGTGCATGTATGTATCAATTTATTTAAACTAATTTGAGATTATTTTTGATTGTTGATGCAAAGTGCTAAAAACATCAATTCTGGCCGCTGGCAGCACTTTTTAACTTGCCTTAATTATCGTCGTAATGAAAAGGGTGACGTTGACTTCATGATATTAAAAAGTCACAGTGCCTTCTTTGATTCATTTGGTGGGTGTCATGTGTCTTCATTACAGATCTTCGCAATTTTCTATGTTGATTATGCTATGACTTTAATTAAATAGCATTTTATTAAAGGCTACATCCTAAGTAATTAAGTATTGACTTTTTCAGTAACCTTAATAATGAGGTTGTAATATAGGTAAGTGCAGGCCTGGGTAAGTGGCATATTAAGGCATGCTTTGTTGACCATAACAATAATAATAATAATAATACATGTGAAGTCAGTCAGTTTTATAGAATAACAATCAACATTACTTTACAACATTCAATTATAACCCAATGAAATTGATTCTTGACAATTTTCAGGAGGCAAAAGCATGTTTAAACCTTACCTTTGATTCGGTCTTAAATTCTTTAATTAATTATATTTGTTTTAAAGGCTCAACCAATCAAATGCCTGGAGTTATGGTCAATGGTCATGTATTTGTATAGCACTCTCCACAGAAAAACCAGTCTCAAGGTGCTTTAGTTTAGGAGGTTGAGTTTTGTAATGTATGCTCTGGTTTAAAACCTCCCATTGCCAACCCGAGCTTGTCAGTGTGGGTAATACAACTCACTTTTAATGCAATTATTACATTGTCCTGGAAAGAACATTAGGCAAGACTTTTTTTAGAACTTGTTTTGCGAACTTATTTTTTTTAAGATCGTCAATGGAGGGCTGAAAAAGTATTAAAAAATAGTTTTGTTTTCTTATTTAGCAAATGGTTTTGCCAAAAACATCCAGATGGAGGGGAATATAAAATTAATTTTTATTGGTGAATGTGAACAGTGTAGTAGTGGGTTGGTTAAATGCTTCATATTTTTAGCGCATTGACGCTTAAGCATAATGCGCTATATAAGCCAAAATTATTATTATTTATATAAGTAGGAATAAAAAAATATACATATCTTATTTTGGAGATTTTTTTATATTCAAGACAGCAGTGGGCATAAAAAAAATATAGAAAAAATTATATTTTTTTTTTTGGTGAGTGTGGTAATTGGCAAAATATGAAATTTTATTATTTATTGACAGGTGGCGGTTCCCTAGACAAGATATAAAAAAGTCTTGAAGTAAGGTTTTCGTCCTGTTTACACAATTGCTCTGAACATGGAAAAAAACTCTCCTCTCATTTTGGAAAAATGTAGTGATTTTTTTCTCTGTACTGACCAATTCATTTATTCGAAAGGTTTTGCACGCGAATGAATACATGTAGGCATACATTTAGCAATCCTTAACTGTTTGTAGCCATGCTGTGCTTTTCGCAATGACAGTAAAAATTAAGCGTAGGGCCTTGGGCCTATAGGTTAGGCAGCTTCTTCTCTCATCATGCTTGTCAAAATCAGATTTTGGCATGACCTTAAATGTTAGTATAGGTGTTGCAAATTGGAAATGGTAGCCGAATAATACTCCTTCGCTGTATGCGTTTGCATGCGAAACCTCTCTATTGTCAAGTCTGTGTACTGTAAGTTCCTATGGTGTGTTTATAATAGTGTAATGGATTTTTGCTTTTCGGGAAGCAGGTTTGGTGCAGCGGTTTCCACCAATGGGTTTTCAAGTTTTAAACCTGGTTTCCTTAAAATCACTACACTGATTTCACTGCAATTATTGTACTGTGTAGCAGTCTATGATGCAATCGGGAAGGCTTCCCGATCAAACCGACCAATCAGCATCACCAAAACCTGCTAGCAATAGCGTGTAGTGATTGTATGGTAACCAAGCTTTAAGTAATAAATTGTGTTCATTACTTCGTGGAGTTTAATTTTCTATTTCATATTTCCCTGCAGTTCCAACATGATGATTCACAAGATTTCTGGTATTGAAGATAAAGTAGCTAAGGTGTGTTGCAATTAAAAAATTTTCTAATCAGACTCCATGGGTTTCGATTCCTGGAAATAAAAAATCCATGTCTGATGCTTCAGATCAACTTGTTCTGTTGCAACCTGTTGCATATAACTAAAAATACAATAAATCTATGTTGATCATATTCATTATGTAATGGCTATAGATTTTTTCTCTGCAATAGTAGTTGCAAGCATTAATGTTTTGGAAATAGTTCTGATTGGATGAACAAAATATGTTACCGTCAAATACATTCACTGAACATATGCAAAAGCTGCTGGGCAATACACTTATGAACATTAAACCAGGCACTGGCTGTACATTTTCAAATACTGCTGCCTTATATTAATAGATAGCCATTTTTGCCTACTTAATGTCTATGCTTCTATGGTGTGGCCACCCAATAATCATCGTCCAATAACCATCACCTCAAAATTTGGAACATAACTGTTTTGAAGGTGGGGGGGGGGGCTGACGTGTGCAGCAATTCGTGTAGGCCTACACATGTATTCATCAAATGATCATCAAACACTTCAACTGTGTGCATTGCCAAATGCTGACCTGTTTCCACTTCTAATTTAAAAAAAAACAACATTTTATTCATTCTCGAAACACATAAAAATAAGAGACTGTTTCAGTCTCAGAAAAATAACCACTGCCTATATATTAACTCTCATAAATTATGATATATTAAACATAGTACAAAGTTAATTGATGGTTGATTATGTATTTCTTGCATATATTAAATGTGTTATGTTTTGGATAGATTGTGTGTGGGCAAGACCATAGCCTGTTTCTTACAGAAGGTGGACAGGTCTTAAGCTGTGGATGGGGTGCTGACGGCCAGACAGGTGCGCATTATGATATTCATTCACCTGAAACTAAAATATAATATAAAAGCAAATAGACTTGCCACCAGTTCCTGGTGACAAGAGTCTACCAGGCCTGAAAAAATGATGTTTGTGCCTCTGTCCATGAAAATTGTTTCGATAAAATGGCTCCAGTACGAAATGTTATCTGTACATATATAGCCCAACAGCTTTTTAAAAAAAAATTTGTTTCCCCAAAAGTATCTCGAGGATATTCATGGTGCCTCCAAATGCTGGTAACGGGGGTCATGCATTTTTTCCAGCCCTGGAATTTACTTTCTATTATTATATAATATTACTACCTATAACTATCCTACATCATCATGCTTGGCCCCCAAACAAAATATTCTTCATGGTGTGATAGTAAACATTTTTTTTTTTTAGCTTTTTGCTCACATGCAAAATATTTAAGTTAATATAACAAAGTAATGTGTGCTTCTTGATAGTAACATTTTGTGGATGGTAAAATGATAATGTAACAATTTACTTACTGTATTTATTGGAATAAGTAAATCATTTGCAACAATTAACGTTGTACTCTAGTAGAATTGCATGTTTTCTACTCCTCCCTCAAATAAACGTCTCCCTCTAAATAAAACACCCCCTCAAAAACCGTCCTGGGGTATTTATTCGAGTAACTAAGGTAATATGTGTTATTGCTATGTGAATAAATGTCTACTCTCTAATCCTTTTATATTAATTTTATATCTTCTATAATAGGGATTAATACTGTTGATTATAATGATGTGAATTTACAGTGAAACTAATGATTAATATAAAAAATTAATATCTGTTGTAGGCCAAGGAGATTATGAAAGCTCAAGTAAAATGAGTTTGGTAGGAGGTGATCTTAAGGGTGAAAGGATTGTAGACATTGCCACATATGCCGATTGCTGCTTAGCTGTGTCTGGTAAGATTTATTTTTTAGTTTTCTTGTTTTTTTTTTTTTTCTGGAGCATCCCCTCCCCCATAAATTTGACTCAACTATATTTATGGGCTGGACTAAGCGTAGATTTAATAATCGGACCGAATGCAGCAGGTACATAAGTAGAAAATCTGGAAATGTCAAACTGTTATGGGAAAGAATGATTATCATTTGAGCAATGTTCCGTTGACATTTTTCCATCGTGTGGTGCATAAATATTACAAAGTAATAAGGTTGACGCGCAGAGCGCCTGGTTTGAATTAAGGTCGGTAGTGTAGAAACTGGTATGGCTGATGATAGTTGTTTGTTGTGTTGCACTAAAGATAACAGAATATAACACATTAAGATGTCACAATAGTTTGAAGCCAATTTTAATGACATCCATTGTCATAATTTATAAAAATTAAAAAAAAAAAAACTCTGCTTTTATTAAAATATTGAGTTTGCCTTTACAAAATTGATGCTCTTATTACACATATATTTTTTTCACAAGGTCAAATGGGAATAAATAATGATATTGTTATTATATTTCATGATATTGAAGGTGTATTGAGCTCTTACAGCAAACTGAGCATTTATTTACTTCATGAAAATGAGTAAATGAATTGTAGTTTTTTTTAGATTGTTTATAAGGGGAGCTTATTTAATTAATAAATGACAATTACGCAGAATTTAGTGTTATGTCTTTTTGTTTAAGGGTCCATTTGAGTGTAAGTGCTGATGCGGGAGTGTAAAATGTACTGTGGCTTTGAGAGGCCGGAGATTACCAGGAATGTGGCACAGGGCACGGGCCCGACAGGCTGCTGTGTAAATGAAATAATGTTTCTATATGTCTACTTTATTGGTGAAATTAAGCACTCTATAATCGTTTAAATTAGTCCTCTAATCCGTAAAAGGCATGGCTTCAGGGGGCTCTACCCCTGGATCTTGCTGGGGCTGCGGCCCCCAGACCCTAGCTAATGGGCCCGGGCAGGAAAGCTGACCCGGGGACTACTGACACTGACACGGCGGCCCAGAAAATGTAAAAGATAAACATATGTTTTCTTTTACTTAAAATGTTTAATTTATTTTATGTACTTACAGATAAAGGTGATGTTTTTGGTTGGGGAAATTCAGAGTACAATCAGCTCAACTTAGTCACAGATGAGACTCAGGTGGGAATGAGAAGAGATAACTAATCAGTTAGCTGTTAAATGGGCAAACAAAGAAAAGCAAATAAATCATCCTACTATTAATGGAATGAGCAGAAGCACTGTAGAGCAAATTTCATTTTAGAATCATTAAGTCTTAAGTTTGAGGCTGTACATGATTATATTCCCTGGTCACTAGATCCATATTTAGGAGACTGGCACAAAGGACAACTGTGCTCAACTCTCAACGAATTTAATGAACGAAAAAGGATATAAATGAATTTGAAATAACAAAGAAAGAAATAAATAAATGAAGAAGGGTGAAGAAATAAAATAAGCATGAATTAAAAAGGAGGTCTAGGAAATAAAACTTTTGAAAATTATAGAGGAAGCAGTAAGTTTATAAAAATTAATGGTTATTATGATTTGTACACTTCTGTGTCATTTTAAAACTTATTGATAATTTGTTACAATTGCAAATGAATTCTTAATATATTTTTTTACTTAGTGTATGCATGTGATTTTTATATTTCACTGTACTGTTTTTCAGATTGCAGAACCAAGACTTCTTCCTTTTAAGAATGTGGGGAAAGTTGTTTCTATAGCAACAGGGGGAACCATTTGTGCACTTCTAAATGGTTTGTACATTTCATTATATTTTGATAATAACTTGTATTCAGTGGCATATTCAGAAATTGGTTCAAGGGTGATCCAAGAATCATTTTTGGCTTGTGGTAACACATTTTCAAAATGCGGCAAAAGGGAAGAAAAAATCAGAGTCAAAGGTCATAACCATAGGGTCCTTATATCTCCGCAACCACATGTGGTGGAGAGTTAATACTGGTGCCAAGGTGTTCAGAACATTCATATTTCTGTCTGAAATAATAGAACATTTTGTTAAAAAATTACTGGAAATGTCATTTCTAACTTTTTACACGCTTTAAGGTCATAGCTATAGGGTTAAAAAAATAAAATTCTCTAGTCAAGTTTAACCACATTTACAAAGAACACTACTTACTATCGTTACTATTATCACCCGTTATAATAATAATAACAACAACAACAGCAGTAGCAGCAGCTTAAATATAGCATGCTAATTTCTTTTGCATTCATCTAATAAAATATATTTAATTCATTTTATAAAGCCTGTAAATATTTTGCCATATGCTATATTTTTATGTCTTTATTGAATACAGTGATTTTGTAAACTTGGCAGAAAGTAAAATTTTAATTTTCTTTGCAGATGCTGGTGATGTATATGTGTGGGGATATGGAATCCTAGGCAAGGGGCCTAAGCTGTCTGAGAGCATTCATCTGGAGCATATCCCTCCAATTCTCTTTGGTCGTAAAATTTTAAAAGAGCATGTGAAAGTCACTCAGATACACTGTGGAATGCATCACTTTGCTGCTTTAACAAGTAAGGCCCTGTCCAGACTATCAAATTTCATTTGACAAAAACATGTGACATGCCTGAATATGGTCATGATGACATCACATCAGACAATAGTTTTGTCAAAGAAAAATTGAAAATTACTTTAAAGCAGTACTGTACATATTTGAGAGAGCAGCTGAGGTCAGTTTGTTAAAATGGGTGGTAGCCACTGTGTGTGCAATGAACCATGCTATCCTTTCACGTAGTTGCCCCCTGGTTCAATTCCAAATCGGTACTCTTCATGTGATTCAGCTGGAAGCTAAAATGCATGTTAGGCTAACATGCCATCTTTCAGGTGAATCACTGATCCCATGTGCAGTATGGATCTTGCGCCCTTAAATTATGCAGTACTTACTTCGAAAGGAATAGTGCCATGTTGTACAGCCAAAATTCTCAACGAAAACGGCCCTTCTAGGAAAACCGTGAGGGCTATCTTTGGTGTATGTCACTCCAAAACTATTTCTAACATGTCTATGCTGTTAATATACTGCCAAATATATAATATGTTGTATTTATGTATACAAGCCTGACAAGGTTTTAGTCAGATTTAACATAAAAATTATTAGTGTGTGTTTGTTTTAAAATATTCAAACAAATTGTCTGTCTTAACTTGTTAGAAGTTAGACAATTGTCTATTCATAAGTCTGATCAAACATATTTATATTTAAATAAAATGAAATGATATTGTCTAATTGATCCATTATGTGATAAAAAAAAAAATCTAGGTATAATTGTTAAAATATATGATTTAGTTAAAATTGTACTTATGAAATCTAAACACTGTTTGTCAGATACTGGTGAGATGTATACTTGGGGTCAAAATGCTCATGGCTCTCTAGGACTTGGTTTTCATCAAGACCAGTATTTCCCACTTAAGGTAGGCCACACTGAAAATCTTTAAGCCTGGTTCTCACAAGAGCCCTAGAATCGCCCGATGGGTTAGCGCTAACCGTTAGCGGTATCCGGATACCGCTAACGGTTAGCAAGCACTATCTGTTTGCAACTTCAGTGCGTTTTTATCATCAACCAATCACACGTACGTGTTTACAATTTCCAGTTTCTTATTGGCCAGTGATTCGATCATCAAATTTTTGGTATTCGGATCGGGAGTTTCTCGTATGGACGCACGGCAGCTAACGGTTAGCAGGATCCAGATCCCGCTAACCATTAGCTGTCGTGTGAGAACATAGCCTTACTGTATTTTCCACATTCTCATCAGAAATATTGTAAGTTGTTAATAAAGTATGAGTAATATTTATGTATCACTAAGTTAAATAATAATTTAAGTTAACTTGTTTTAAATTAAACCTTTATTTGTGTTCTTTTTCTATAAAGGTTGGTGTTCCAGCTGAAGTTATTGATGTTGCTTGTGGCGTTGATCACACTATTGCCCTTGCAAAGACGTTTATTTGAATAATCACACCACAAATTATTAGAGCACATATTGCTGTCCATACTTAGTAGGCCTCTACTGCCAGAATGTTGGTATTGCTAATGAATATTAATTTATTGAAACTCTGTCATGGTATTATCAAGAGCACTGTAATGTTTCTCTATGAGTTTGATGTTTCCATTTTTTGCAGCGTTATCTATTTAATCATAGAATGTCATCATAAACAGAGAGCCACATAGTTCAGTCTAAACTTGCTGTAGCACTGTGGGCGATGAAACGTGGAGATTCTTTAAAAAGTTTTATAATAAATAAATAAAATAATAATAAATATATACAGTTATACATATGTAGTGCCTGTTGAAACAGAATACATCTTTTAGTCTGCTGGCTTATATCATATTTTGTGGCTTTTTCTTTTAAATTTTTTTGGGTAGTTTCTTGGCAAACATGTCTAATGGTTTCTAAAAAATCCACAGATTAAGAAAAAAATGGATGCCAGTTTTTTTTATTTACATACTACTCCATTTTGAATTTTAAAATGGCCGCTACAAAAAAACAGTTTTTAACAAAATAATTTAAATCATTGCTATTCTTTTGTATATCTTACCATATTCATTTTATTTTATCAGATACTTATTATAAAGAGATCACCCTCCTAAAAACCTCATTCCCCACACAGCTCCCTCTGGAAATTCTTTAGCAAAAAATTTACTCTCTATTAGTTGCAAAATTGCCACATATCACCATATTTCGCCATCTGAATCTCCCTAACTTAGTCATTAAGCATTCCCACTTAACCTTCACACCCCCGACTCTATCATCCCCATGATATAAGAGTTGTTAGAGAATGCCTAATGCCATTTATTAAATTATGTTCATTTAGATAATCGGTTAGTTGCATCTGTGTTATATTTTTCAAGTATCTTTGATATGTGACAAACTACTAAAATAGGTCTATAGTTACTTCACGTCTCTTTGTTTTCCCTTATATATATTGGTGTAGTTCTTGCTACCTTCCAATAAACAGGGATTTCTTCGTTCATTAATGACATATTTTAAATCTTACAAAGAGAATCTGATATACGTTGATGCCATTCTCCGTCCTTTAACGACATATGTCGTTAATTAACATAACAATAAGCCTATACAATATTGTTATTGAACAATTTTATTGTAAATCTTACAAAGAGAATCTGATATATACATTGACGCCATTCTTAACAGTTTACTAACAAAATCAATGAGATCAATGCTGATATGGTCAGACAAATTGAGAAATATATTTCTGCTTTTTTGGTTTCAATATATTTACAAGAAGAGAATTGGTATCTGGATTCTGTATTTTTAGTTCCTATGCATGTAATGCAATAGGATCTATTGTAATCAATTTTCACTTTTTTCCCTGTGTGTAGTGGTGTGTGTGCGTGTGTGTCTAGACATTTAAGCAAATGCACATGCGTAAAAAAAAGATTTCCGACATTTTGTTTTTCCTCGCGATGCAAAGTTTGATATGAAGTTTCTACAGTGTTCAGTCAGGGCTCACGCTAACCGATCGGCAAGTTGGCATGGATGAAACTATTTTGGTTTTGTGGCAAAAAAAAATGCTACTGCTGTAGGCATAGGCATTTTGAAGAAGGCCTAAAATTAAAAAAAAGGTTTTAATACTTGCTGAAATACATCGTTTTTTCATTTTGATCCCCATTTTTCACTACCTCCATGCAACGTTTTTTTCTGTTGTATGAGTAGTCATATGAAGGTACTATATCCCCGACAGTTGGCTATGCAGCAATGTACCCTTTGAATGCAGACTGAAGGCAAGTAAAGATATAAAGGCAGCCGACTGTCTGGTACATAACGAATATATCTAGCTTAGGCTGTCCGCAAAAACATGTTTCCTAGCGGCCTAGTTTAGTACAGTAGTTACTGCGATGCGAGGGTGATAAATCGTTTAATCAATGGTATAATAATCATATGGGGCATATCGATTATGATATGTCTATGAAATAATGTTTCCATTTATTCCAAACAGAGTATTTTCATTACCAGTTATAAATAAGTTGTTCGTTTCGTTATTTTCTTGTAATTCTTTGTTGAAAGATTATTCTATATCAAAATCTTTATAATTTCTAAATGTAGGCCTAATTGTTTTATGCCCAATTTTCTTATTTCTATGTTCAATACAAGTGTAGAATAATGAGTGGTCGCTAAGTGCTATATATGCAATCCCATTAAGAACATGGCGTTCTGGTGTTGATGATAAAATTAGATCGATACAAGTAGCTGAATTTTGTGTAATTCTTGTTTTTCATTTAATTAATTGGGTTAGTTCAAATATATTTTCATGTTTATTAACTGGATTTGTGAAGGTCAGTATCTAAAATACAATTGTTGTTAAAATCTCCCAACAATAATATTTCCTTATTTTCATTGCAGGCTTTTTCATGTTTGTTATCTTATCTTTATGTCGGGCGATCGATATACACATGCTATTATTAGCATATTGTCATTTCTTTTATTATTTATTTCGATCCATGCCACTAATATTTCTTCTAAATCTAAATTTAAGTCCTTCATTTACAAAGTCATAATTCCACCACCATCATTTATGTTTGTTATTAGTCAATCACTGTCCTTTCTTATTAAATTATACACTTCTATTTTGTATCATGGTTGTATAAAGTATCAGGGTAGGGAGGAATTAGTTTAGAAATCAGGGTGTGTTTCATTTAACCAAGTTTCTGTTATAACGAGTTATTGTAGTAGTTTTGTTAGCAGAAATATTTTTGTGATTTACTTGACTTATTCCCTTCAACTCCTTGTGGAGCATGTTATACATAACTGTATTTATCTCCCTTTGCTACTAAGAATGTAATTTATGCATAATGGAGAAATATTGTACAATGTGAAACGAACCAGCCATGGCATATGAAAGAAACAAAATAAGCAGTAAGATAATAAAAATAACAGACTAAGGACCATAATGAACAATGCACCATGGCAACATATATTCGCTCCAGTTTCTGTTAGCATTAGTGTACAAACCTGTCTGGTATGTTCATATGAATTTATGCCTGATGAGTGTGGGTAGCTATATAGCTACTCATACGAAACAAAGTTGCAGCCAATAAATGCAGATGGAATTGTTATAATCAATTATGATTATTATCTTTTCTTAATTGAAGATCTCAATGGTTATTTATGATTATTTTCTTTTCTTAATTGAAATTTGTTGTAATTAAAATGTAATTTTTCATAAATGGGCTTTTTGCAATAAATCTTTTTTTAATGATTTTTTAAAATTGCAATTTGAATTTTGATCTCAATGGCTAATTATAGTGATGATTTTTATCTTTTCTTAATTGATGCTTTTTGTAATTAAAATTATTAAATAACAATCTTGGATGTAATTTTTATTAATGGGCATTTTGCAGTACAGTAATGCTGTTGTTGATCTTTTTTTTTCTCTTGATGTACATTTTTAATGTTCTCTTATTGACCACCTTAAGTGCAATTTAAATTTTATATTTTTGAATTTGAACATTGACCTTATTTTAGTCCTATTTGAATCATGCTAATGAGATTTATTAATGTACATTTTTGATGTTTTCCCCCTTAAATATTGTTGTTTGTCTTGTATTTTGAATGTTTTTATCTTTTCTAGTACTGTAAATTGTCTTATAAAAGCCGCCATCGTGTGCCAAGGTCCACTAAAATAATCATATTAAGATATAAAACAAAAAATAACGACACACATTAGGCTATCAAACTCTAATAACTTTGTAGGGGCGTTACTCTGTTAACGTGCTTAATGACAAGTTACCCTGATAAAACATAAGGATAGGTCGAAATATTGGTTTCCTCCAATAAAGCGTTTCTGAAGTCCATACATATCGCATTTGTTTTCTAATAGTTATATTATCTTACTGAAACACACGTCTTCTAGGGACTTCTAGGATTATATATATATATGTGAGGTCTCACCACGAAATGAGACGCATCGTTGATGAAGTCATATTGAGATATTCACCAAAACAGGCCAAAGTCAACATTTTTACAAAATTTTGTTTTTAATGTTTTTGAATAACTTGATACTTATATTTTATGATTGTATACTTTGTGAGTGAATTTTCTTGCCAAAACAGTGCTCTCTGCACATATTCTGTAATTCTAGTCATATTATTTGTACAGGTTAGTTTATCTTTGAGGCTGATTTTCTCAAAATGTGGTTCTTATACACCTGAACTTTAAATGCTCACATCTCTGGATTTACTTATAGTAGGGAAGCCATTCAAAGACCAAATGAAAGC